AGGTGGTGATTTGGGTTAAGGGGCGTTTGTTGAAGTCAACTACTGGGTTATTTTGCACCCATTAAATGAAACTTCTGCTCCAATTCTACCCAGTGAACCTCAATATCATGATCCACCTGTCCATCACTAGGTATCCTTCCTTATTACAAAGAAACTTTGAATGGCATGGCAATTTATAATTTTAAATGACAATATTTTTGTTTCTTCTGTAGGTAGGTAGGTAGGTAGGTACACCAGACTGCTATGGACACTTTTCCAAGTTGGTGGGGCAAAAAACCTAATGTATATTTTGGTTTGAGTCGTTTGATTGAGTTGATTGATTCCTTTCATTGTCGCGTTTGAATCGATTGAATCAATTCCCGAAAACTGCTCTGACTTGATTGATTTGATTGGTTTCCCAAATTTGTCGTGATTGAATTGATTGCTATTGATTGAGTCGTATACAACCCTGCTTCCATCGCTAGTCCATAAACGGATATCAAGACTGAGAGAGGCAACTGGGGGGAGGGAGGGGACATAACAGGCAGAAGTGGTACTTCCTGGACTATCCCACACCCTCTACCCCTCCTCCCCGCCGCCTGTCATTGCCGATAGAGACGTCAAAGCCTGGCTGGGGATGGGGAGGGGGGGGGGGGGCGGTGGCGGACAATTAGCGCCTTTTGTCGGCGTCCAGCAGCGTGCAGCAGAGAGCCGAGTCGTGCAGAGGCGGCGCCCCTCAGCCGTTCGCCGTGCAGGGCACCTCAGCAGGCCCCTTCCTCCCCGCCGCCGCCTCAATGAGCAGCTATGCGGAGGTGACTGCGGTCTTTGCCTTCGACGCAGTCAATCGCCGTTGTGGTTGATGGTGACTATGTAAAACTGCGCCTCACAGAACGAACTAACGAGTCACCTCAGTACTCGACGGCGACCAAACAACGGCGATGTCCCCAGTTACGAAATTCTTTATCGGGAACTGGCCTTCACATTGTCTAGATTCGGCTCAGTCCTGGTGTAGGCTCACGTTACTGGATCTAACAAGCCACGACCGCGCGTCGAGTCAAGGCTGTGACCGTTTACCTCCGAACACGAGACAGCCTTTATCCGGGCCGATACTCGAGTTACTTAAAAGCGGCCTTTTATCCGCCGGCTCGTTCCGTCATTGTCACGGGGGCGGCCGTGACCGCGATAATCCCCGCCCAGCAGCACGGTACAGGGTTCGGTTCGGCCGGGTCGGGCTACGGACGGCGTCACGCCCTCGCGAGAGGTCTTCTCTCTCACACCCCGCCCTCGCGGGAGGCCTCGTCCCTTGCGCCGCGCCCTGACGAGAAGTCTTCTGTCTCGCGCCCCGCCCTCGCGAAGGGGCTCCCAGCGAAAGGTCTCTCCTATTGCGCTCTGTCCCGCGAGAGGTCTCTTCTTTTGCGCTCTGCTGCGCGCGAGGTCTCTTCTATTGGGCTCCGCCCTCGATAGAATCCCCTTTTCTCACATCATACCCCTTGCTTCAGTTACCACCTCTTTGTGCCAAGCCGCTTCTTCAGCACCACCTCTCATGGAAATGCAAACTTCGCTGGAATAAATACTGACCGGAAATGGGGTACAAATAACGGGAGACGTCGAATAACTGATACACTCTGAGTTCAAACATTCCGACTTTGCTTAATTCATGGATCAGTGACGATGTCAACGTCACGATGTTGACGCTGCCAACACCGTTGATACACCACTGACAACGGTGACACCAGGTACAATGTAAAGGCAGCACGGCGCCGCGCCATTGTTGACTGTTGGTGGCATCACCATGACACCATCGCACACACGCGCATACATTAACGGGTCGCAGTCGCCTCTAGGAACGTGTCCGTTCGCCATTGTCCTCTGCCCTAACAGAGTGCTCGCTGGCCGGCAGAGGAGGCGGACATTCGTCTTCACTCGCCCACCGCCCCGGTACCCCGGGATGGCCTCCCGACCTCCCCACAAACACCTTCACCGATGTCCAACACACCGGCACCCCTCCCACAGGCCCCATCGTAACCACCTGGTCCCTCTAACTCGACCTTGGCAGTCAGTGGCGCCGGTCCTTCAGATGACATTAAAACGGCCTGGCAGCCTTATGCAGCCGGCGCTGCCCACCCGTAACAGGTCAGGCAGATGGCCGACGAGTTTGTGCCAGCTTACAACACCCCGTGCGCGGCACCGTTCAATCTCAGAGCTGACGAAACGAGCGGCACTCGCCAGCGTGCAGACCTGCTGAATCTCATCTCAACGACATTCAGTTCTCGGGAAGTGCAAATCTCTGACAGGTTCGCTGCAATGTCGATATACGGCTGACAGAATCACTTCAGTCAGCGTCAGATTGTGGCCTTGTGCATGCGAGTGTAGCCTTCAGCTTCGTCCCCATGGTCACTTCTCTGCGTTTCACAACAAAGCCACCCAGGCAGATTCACTCGAGTCATGCGCTGACCCGACACGATGGGACACAGCTGCTGGCTTCTACATACGTGAAGTATCGTGGGTGACACAGATCACTCAACCAAAACAATGACAAGCTGTAAATAATGATCACCGGTCGACTCCGAAGTAACTCCTGGCAGACCGTCACGGATGCAGTAGCAGCTTCGTGATGTGACAGCAGGTTTCGATGTGTCGCCAGCCCACGGCTCAGTTCCGAGACGCGACGCCTCGCTGACTATGCGCCAGCACAAGCCACTCCCGGCGACAGCATAGACCCGACAGCGGGACGGCACCTGACAGCGGCCCCGAGACTGACCACCTTGACCGCTCTGCAGCGACCGGCAGGGTCACCGCCACTAATTTATAGCATCGTGCCCGTTTATAGCCCGTGGGGAAGCAGCAAGGCCGTGAGTAAGCATTCAGCGATTTCCAGCCACGGCGTCAACGATGGCGTGCCCTCGTCAGATGTCCCTTGAAAGGTGCCACTCTACTCTGCATGACAAATGTGAGCGATGGATCGGATGGATTGACGTCAAGAGGCTCACTCTCGGGCGGGGTTGTTGTCAAGAGGCGGGGATGCTGTCAGGAGGTCGGTCGGGATACGCCATCACTTATGTTGGACAAGTGAGACTCGGTGAATAGCGCACGCCTTTTCCAGGAGCCGCCCACCAGAATATGCAGTGGTTTCTCAGAGATCTGTGATGCTGAGACGGAATTTACTGCGACTTCAGAGACTCGGCCTCGGGCTTATCCTCGTCAAGGAGGGGACGGGAGGGTAGTGCTATACCGATGCTGCAGTACACGGCTGCAAACGCTCGGCCACAGAAGTGACTCGACATAACGTCTACTCAGCCACTAAACTGTCTTCTCAGTGTTATCAGAAATCAGCCGAGACAACTATTACGGCATGGCAGCATGTATGTGTGACAAGCAGATCCTAATTAGATAGGGCAAATGTAAATAGACGGCGAGATAACGCCTTAGAATTGATGGTCATCCGCACGCAAACATGAGCCCGTTTAATGAGATGAATTAGCCACCACTAATCTCTAGCTACTGCCGGGTCCATTACTTCCACCCTTACAATTACTCCGTCGCCGACGGCGCGGCAATTTTAGCACAAACACCCGCCACAACGCAAAGGGGTAGGTTTTGCGCGTGCGAGCGTTTAAAGCCCACAACAGCACCTCGGCGCTCGGAGCCGGGCCGACTCCGCGATGCACTCTGGCCGCAAAGTGGCCTCCGTCAGGCTAGTCATCGTCGCTTTAGCAATGCTGACTGGCCACTCATGTGCCGGACGGTAATCACAGTGCCCGGCGAGCTAGTGAGGCCGGCCGCGCGGCGCACCCGGTCGGCCGACGCCGTGAGTTATACCCGGGTCCAGAGTCGAGGTCGGGGGAGTCAGTATGGCGGAGAATCTGTGCCTCAGTGGACTCCGTGCGGTGTGACTCTGATATAATGACTCAGGTATGTGTGGTAGAAATGATGGAAGTGAGGCGCCGCAAATGTGGACGCCGTTAGACACAACACTAGCCACAACATGCCATTGTGGTCGTGTTTGGTGCTAAAGTAATGGTCCTGACGGAGACACCGCTATTCATCACTGAAATATCTTGGAATTGCAGCAGTTAGGCCGCGTCATCTTGCCACTATCTTGTAACCAGCCCATCTAGGTTCACCAAAACATCTTTTCTCAGGCTGGCAGCACATCCGTTCTCAGTATCTCTCAGTATCGCTGCTGTCACTTGTACTGGTCTTGCCTTCATACCATCCGCTTTATAGGAAAGTTCAGAGGATATAATTGTAGCGAGATCCGTCTTCGGTCTCATCACTTGCTATTGCTGGTTTCTGCTATCTTACTGCATCATCATTCTTTAAACTTCCCTGCCAAGTCACACTTTTCTACGCATTTTGTGAAAATTGATGCGTTGCGGCAGGGTTTTGAAAGTTGTTGAAGAGGGCACCGGAAGGATCATTCTCCCTGCGCCTCACAGCCATGATAGCTATTTCTCATATACAATCATCAGTCATCACCCCTCAGTTCGTTAAATGGCATCCAGCAGCAGTCAACAGCATTCATTCCAGCGGACCAGTCTAATACACCTGTTACCGAGAGTTCTTGTCCATCAGCTTTTCACACACAGGAATTGTTGTTTTAGCATTTTACGTTAGTAAAAGTTGCACTTACTCATATGAAAAACTGCGTTTACCGGGAGACCCCCCCCCTCTCCCTCCCCAGTAGGACTCGACGCATTGCATCAGCCCATCTCGATGTCTGTCGTCACAGTACGAAGGGACCAATGGGTCAGGTAGAAGTCCGAGACGTCCCACGGTTCACGATTACTATCAGCGTCATAACAAGACCAGACTGTGAACATTCGACGTAATGGAGAATAATAAGCAAACCTCAAAGCTAGGACATCAACAGCACAGAAAACTGTAAATAAACAGGCAACAGAACTCATTGTCCAGCAGAACATCATGCTCTAACTTCTGTCATTCTTATATCTCATGCTATCTTTCATAATGACGTCACAGAATCAGATGACATCCCAGGCCGTGTAAATTCGCCTCACCTTGTTGACGAGCATGGCGCTGACGGAGCAGACTGGCTGTATACCGGTGAAGAGCTGCCGGTGTTCCTCGGCACTGATGGAGCTCAGTTTTCGCAGCGGGGTGCCGTAGATCTGCTCCACGGCTCTCACTGAGGTGAGATAGCGCCGCTCGGCTGCCAGCAGCGTCTCGGTGAGACGGTACCGGGGCGTCCCCCTCTACAAAAAAAGAGACAGGGGGTCAGAAGGGACGACAAGGCGAGAGATTCCTCTGGAAAGAGAGAGAGAGAGAAGAGAGAGAGAGAGAGAGAGAGAGAAAGAGGGAGAGAGAGAGAGAGAGAGAGAGAGAGAGAGAGAGAGAGAGAGAGAGAGAGAGAGAGAGAGAGAGAGAGAGAGAGAGAGAGAGAGAGAGAGAGAGAGAGAGAGAGAGAGAGAGAGAGAAGGGTCAGATTGAGAGACAAGGAGGGAGACTCATCTGCAAAGAAGGGAAACAGGAATCAGATATAGAGACAAAACTGCAGGCCCATGTGCAATAATGGGGAGCAGGACCAGACGCTGTTGGGTGTTCCCGTGTAACAATAGGGAATCCGGAATGTGGGTCAGACCAAGAAGAAGGGATGAGTCAAGTGAGGAAGGAAATAATGACCTCCACTTATGCAATAAGGAAAACAGGGGTGGGGCGACGGGTGCTCTATATAACAGCATGGAAGACGGGTAGATGGTGAAGAGCGTGCTATCTGTGCTAAAGAGGACAGAAGAGACGGGAAGAGGCAGGAGCCCGAGCTGATGGACGGAGAGAGAGAGAGAGAGAGAGAGAGAGAGAGGAGAGAGAGAGAGAGAGAGAGAGAGAGAGAGAGAGAGAGAGAGAGAGAGAGAGAGAGAGAGACAAGATAGGGAGATGAAAAGATTTCGACCAGGCATAAAACAGATGCTGTATGTGTCGTCGGTGCAAGACGTTACAAGATAACAAACACATGGTGTTTAATTTCGATGGGTAGTAGACAGTTGTTTGATCCGTATCTGACAAGCCAATCATGTCTGATGTCATCACATTTGTTAGTCCCTACGCGCCACGCCGTATCCAACACTTTCGCTGAACGCGATTTTCTGCCCGACATCGTCAATCAGGCACCATCGGGTGAGGCGCTGCAGCCCTGAAAAGCCGCCTGCCCTGTCCCGCCAGTCAGACCCATTGTTACTGGCTCCACTCGGTCATCCGCCTATTGGGCTCCTGGGACACGCGGCGGCCCGCCCGGCCGACCCCCAGCCGCGGGATGCCTCACTCGCACAAAACGGATGCGTTGTGGGCTCACTCTTAATCAGGCCTGCAGTCGAGAGAGAGAAAGCGTGACCGCCGTGGCCGCTGCTTTGATCAGAGTGGACGTGTGGGATGCACCCGGTCGGTAAAAGTTCACCGAAATCCGCCGGCGGCAGGTGCTGAGTCACTGAGCTCAGACCGCCCAAAAAGTCAACAGGCTGACATTGGCAAGCGTCGTGTTCGTCTCTGGGCACTTCAGCGCGCCAGGATCGCCTCTGAAGCGCCGCGCCGCCTCTGGTTGCGCCAGCCGCCCCCGTTCGACTCAGTTTCAACCAGCCCAAGGCAGCGCAACGCCCAATGACGACTGGCATTGTAATTAATTAGTCGAGAAGAGTCTCTTTCACCAATACATTACGAATGTACCGAAAATGAACTGAGCGACCATTATATCGTGACGAATGAAAGGCCCAAGATGGGCCAGAAGAACTCAGCGTCAGGCAGATCCTTGTTGGCTTCTGCGCCGCACGAAAGTGAAAGTGCGGCGAATGGTGCGCAAACGGGCGCCAGTTACGCCTCCGCGCGATGATGCGCCAGATGAGGGCTCATTGATTGACTGGCAGAAGGACGCAGAGGCCGACAGGAGGGCACTGTTTACGTCGTAGATAAACGGTAAATGTTACGCCGAATCAGCCAGCCACGATGACGACTATCATTGGACGGCAAGGTCCCTTCCTGTGACCTGCAGCGAATAAATGTCTGGGAATAGATACTTGGTAGCGAATGGCTGCTCAATACGTCTTTGGCAACCATAAATAATATTGCTGACCACGAATTTAAGTCCACAGGAATGTAGACTGATGGGAATGTTGCGGCGATGTGACGAAAATTGCCCTTCAGTTTGGAACTCAAGCATGGATTTACATCACGAAACCATGATTGGTGGGCGGTTCTGATCATAGAGTAGCCACGTTGCGTCAATACGGCGGCGGAACATTAAGTTATGATGGAAACCCACACCAATGCATGTTTCTGAATGACCGTACCAGCCCAGGTCAAGCTTCTACTCAACGCCGGCTGGCCCGCGGTCATCTCAGTCATCGCAGGTCAGCGCAGGTCATCATAGCCAGCGTGGGTCATCGCCGCCTATCGCCAGGTCATCGTGAGGTCACCGATGGGTCGACACGGGTCACCGGTGGGTCGGGTTGTCCGCAGACTTCCGCGACGCGGCCCGCCTAGTTATCAGTCTCCGACTCGCCGCCCGCGATTGTCCGTCGGTAGGCTAATCGGAAAATTGTCCGGCCATTAGTGGTCGGGTCGGGCCGCAGTTCGCCCCGCTACACGAAATTGCCGGTCTCCGGACTGCCGCCGGTCATGTCATCGGTGGGACCAGGGCTAGGGTCTGAGATGGGAGCAGGGAGATTGAGTGTGGATGAGGAGAAATAGCAGCGACAAGAAGTGGTAAGACATGGGATACACACAACTGTACACGATTGAAAATAACCAGTATAACGCCATTTGGGGCGACTAACGGAGCGAGCGAGAGGGTGGGCCTTGCACGTGCGCAATTGCTTGGGGATACCTCCAACTGACTTGTGCACGGCACCCTACTAACCGGTCTCTAGCGATGTGCCTAATTTGGGCGCAATCGGCCCAGCCGTTCTCGAGATCTGGAAGCGGCACCCTGCACGTGCGCACGTGCAAAATGGGTCCCAACTGACTTGCGCACGGCACCCTACTAACCGGTCCCTAACTGTGTACCAAATTTGAGCGCAATCGGTGGAGCCGTTCTCGAGATCTGGAAACGGCCCCTGCACGTGCGCACGTGCAGCAGCGCCCCAACTCTGGCACATGGATATGCAGTGCCTAGTGGGTGCCTACCTACATGCCAACTTTCAGCGCAATCGGACAAGTAGTTACCGAGATATTGCAACAATTACAAAACGGACACCTCTTCGTTTTGCGCGTGGCACGTGCATAAGGGGTCACCCACATGCATCGGGAATAGTCCAATACTTGGTAGAAGGAATGAAGCTACCCTACAAAAATTACCGCGTGTAAATCGGTCAAGTGGTTGCTGAGATATAAGCCTCGCAAAAGCGTGACCACGGCCGGCCGGCCGGCCGGCCGGCCGCTCATACTCAGAAATTTCCGTTAATCTAAGGAAAGACTACGCTCGCTTCGCTCGCTCCGTAATAACGGAAATTTCTGAGTACCAGTATAACGCCTTATGGGGCGACTAACGGAGCGAGCGAGAGGGTGGGCCATGCACGTGCGAAATTTCGAGGGGGTACCTCCAACTGACTTGTGCACGGCACCCTAGTAACCGGTCTCTAGCGATGTGCCAAATTTGAGCACAATCGGCCCAGCCGTTCTCGAGATCTGGAAGCGGCACCCTGCACGTGCGCACGTGCAAAATGGGTCCCAACTGACTTGTGCACGGCACCCTACTAACTGGTCCCTAACCGTGTACCAAATTTGAGCGCCATCGGTCCAGCCGTTCTCGAGATCTGGAAACGACCCCTGCACGTGCGCACGTGCAGTAGCACCCCAACCTTAACACATGCAGATGAATTATCTGATGGAGACCTAACTGTGTACCGAGTTTCAATTCAATCGGCCCAACCGTTGTGCCGTTATTGAGGTTGCAATTTTGGGGGTTCTTAAAAAAGGTCCAACTTTACCACGCGCCACGTGCGGTGGTTGGCAAGAACGCATGGTGGCCATCACACCACAGAACTTTTACGTCCAAGTGACATTCAGTAAAGAAGACCGCTTGTCAATCGGATGTCCCGTTCCTAAGATATTAGCTTTTGAAGAGCGTCCCCACGGCCGGCCGGCCGGCCGGCCGGCCGGCCGGCCGCTCATACTCAGAAATTTCCGTTAATCTAAGGAAAGACTCCGCTCGCTTCGCTCGCTCCGTAATGAGCGGCCGGCCGGCCGGCCGGCCGTGGTCACGCTTTTGCGAGGCTTATATCTCAGCAACCACTTGACCGATTTACATGCGGTAATTTTTGTGGGGTAGCTTCATTCCTTCTACCAAGTATTGGACTATTCCCGATGCATGTGGATTGTGGGTGACCCCTTATGCACGTGCCACGTGCAAAACGAAGAGGTGTCACTTTTGTAATTGTTGCAATATCTCGGTAACTACTTGGCCGATTGCGCTGAAAGTTGGCATGTAGGTAGGCACCCACTAGGCACTGCATATCCATGTGCCAGAGTTGGGGTGCTGCTGCACGTGCGCACGTGCAGGGGTCGATTCCAGATCTCGAGAACGGCTGGACCGATGGCGCTCAAATTTGGTACATGGTTAGGGACCGGTTAGTAGGGTGCCGTGCAAAAGTCAGTTGGGACCCATTTTGCACGTGCGCACGTGCACGGTGCCGCTTCCAGATCTCGAGAACGGCTGGGCCGATTGTGCTCAAATTTGGCACATCGCTAGAGACCGGTTAGTAGGGTGCCGTGCACAAGTCAGCTGGAGGTACCCCCTCGAAATTTCGCACGTGCAAGGCTCACCCTCTCGCTCGCTCCGTTAGTCGCCCCAAAAGGCGCTATACTGGTACTCAGAAATTTCCGTTAATCTAAGGAAAGACTACGCTCGCTTCGCTCGCTCCGTAATAAAACTCTCCATTATCAATACCTGGATAGTGGATAGCCACCACGCAAGTCGCGACTGGCAAAGATCTTCATCCCAGGTAGGTACTCGTATTTATGTAGGTTTAACACACCTGCGCACCACAGCGGTGGCTGGGAACCCGTCCATCAGCGAGTCATTACCGCCGGTTACCGATTAGGGACGCCTCCGCTCGGCCGGGCCACCGAACTGAGTTCAGAAGGCAGCGTGGGGGTGCCGTGGTGAGCGGTAGCCCAGAGAGCCAGGTCGGTGGTGGTTGGAGGATAGTGGTGGGGGAGGGGGACAACCAGAGGTGGTTATTAAATGGAGAGGAGAGTGAAGAAGAAA